AGTTTTCCTTCTCAAATTCTGAATGAAAATGGGAGGGAGGGAGGCAGGGAAGTACGCAAGTAAACATGGCACATACTATTTGACAAGCTTATAGTTAGTAAATCATGCTCTTCCTAGCTGCTCAAGGAATGTGGTCTTAGGAGAAAACGTCCCTCAGAACAGCAGAGGGGAAAAAAACCACGTTACAGGAGAAAGTAAACATGTAAATCACAGCAAAAACCACACTGGTTACGTATGTGTAGGAAAAAACAACTGGCCTTTTCTAAGAATAGATTTCCCCACAACTTTAAAACAGATTTCCTCTTATATGTACAAATCACACTGGTCTTCTTTTCCTAGTGAGTCTTATCTTTCTGTATAAAAAAAATTTGCAATATAAGAAAGACAAAAACCAGAGGATTTCATTCACATCTGTACGGAAACATTTACTTTCGTAAGACAAAAAAACTCAAGATCACAGTACACAGCAGTTATTTATTTAAATACTTGAAAAGGTCAATGATGGAAAAAAATAGGTTTATCATGAGAGTTTATATTCATTAGATTTATTTTACCATTTAAAAAAGGGCTGCTTCTAGGTTATCCTAGCCAGAGGGAGCACACTTCATGGCACATGCAGCTACTGTAATACGCTGTTAACAGACAGGGCCATTATAGGATGATTTACACTTTGGGAGGAAATTCAATAGTAATAATGGCGACTGTTTATTTAAACTAAAAACATTGATAATATACAAATCTTTTTTTCTCATTTGATTGAAAGGGCTATAAAATTCAACGTCCTGACAAAGGAAGCCACAGAATCGCACAGGTGACGCCTCTGCTAACTGCCTTCAGCTTACTCCTTCCCTCGAGGAGAGCCTCACAGCTCAGCTGAACAATTTTCTAGACCGCACAATGGCTTTGAGGCCGGACTACCGCGAGGGACGGCACTGAAAGAAAGTTGTGTTTTTTAAAACTGGAGAGAAAATGGCAAATTGTGCCTCGTGTACTGAAAGTACCCAAAGATCATTCTGAGTAAATGTGAAATAAATAAGTGATCAATGAGTAAATACAATCTCTGAGCTGACTTAAACCTAGGAGAGTGAGCCAACTTGAGCGCGAACACCATCACGTGGAAACGTCTAGAAACGTCATTCCTAGAACTCAGTTTGGGAGACCATATCTTGTCTGAATATGTACATTATTTACAAAAGATTCCCTTTTGGCCTCTGAAATTCAGCCACCTTAGTTTGGCTGTTTAGCTGTTTCTTTCCATATGCCAGCCAATACTGCAGTTATAACTAGCATTAAAATACTCTTATGCATGAATTACAAATATTAATAAAGTAACTCTGCATGTATAAATATCTCAGTATTTCTAGCGGAATTTAAAGCATTCAGAATGTACATAAAAGTATTTGTTTTTGGTAGGGCCAGCATTTTTTTTCTCAAATCATCGCTGTTTCAATAATGCTTTGTACATAGCAAAGCCCAAAACTGCAAAAACGGTAGCACCAAAACTTGCTCGAAGCCAAAACGTGGAGCTCTTGAGGTCAGCTTGTGTCACGTGCCTGTAGTCAAAAAATATAATTAATGTTTAAAACAAGATTAGTATGAAAAAAAAGTTATATTAACAGTCTATTTTTAGGGAAGTATTAGCACACTTGTCAGGCTAATTGCATACAGTACTGTTCCTCAAAAACATGTATCAATAAAGCCACATGTACATTGCTTAGATAACCATTATCTTACACATTAATAAAGACAAATGTCTTTACAATTAGTTATTATTTGAGAGGAAGCGACATCTAAAATGTTAGACATTTTCTTCACATGGGAAATGGAACTTAGACAAATCAAACTGCCAATTTTTAATACCACCATGGTCCTTCAAAATGAGAGGTAAGACTGAGACTTCACAATTTTGAGAGTCAATCTTATGGAACTTGATGTGCAACCTCCTGCCCCCCAGGAACCAACCAAAAGCTATCTTGTAAGCAGTTAAGTGACAAGTGACAATACTTTTCCAAGAGCAATGCTTAAATTCGACTTTGGAAACACTGAGCCCCATAAAAGTTTACCAAAAAAATTCCAGAGGGGGAGGGGGGAAGATTTACCAGTTCGCATGTAATTTGGTTACTGCTGATTAAAGAAAGAAGAAGAAAAAAAAACCAACCAAACCAAACTCTGGTATTAGTCAGACAGGCAGTGATGATGGTACCAACTAAAGGACATAATGTAACATGATGGACTGAAAGGTCATGACATAAAAGAAGCCATACTATGCATGACAAGAACAGGGACAGCCTGTACCACAAACTGAGTTTGTGAGCATGCTCAGTTAATAACGCTGCTAAGCACCCTCAAGGGCCTCAAGTATGACAGCTTACCATGAAGAGGAAAAAGCTTTAGAGCAAGTGTCACTGACACTTTAGTTAAGTGAACGCAACTGAGGTGATGTAGAAAACTTACAGAGTTAAGAGCTTAGAGAGCCTGTCTAGTTTATTTTACAACTATGTTAAACAGATTTGAAGCAAGAGTCAGGCATCATTAAAAGGCCAAGACACTGACATATGCAAAAGAGTTAAGAGCCAAGAATATAAACTGTACAAAACTACTTTGCCTCTGTAAAGGTCAGAGTGAACAATCAGATTAGTTATCACAAAAGGTGCACTCAGTACCTCCCTAAGAATTAAGTCTATAACACAAGCAGAGTGCTCCATGCTTATCACCACAGTTAAACGACACACAGCACTTCAACTTCTTATCCTCCCCAGTTTCTAGCCAAAAATACAAACAAAAAAATCATTCCTTATATAATTATTATTTTACAGAGCAAAGTAATAACACAGGTTCATTCCACCTTGCAAGTTAGTTCTTCCAACAGGCAATGTTTCATTAAAAAAAAAAAAGTTAGGGAAGAAAAGAGCTTAGGTTTTTAGTTTTTCCACTTGGAAAAACTCCAACAAGGCCAACCCACTGGTTGTGGGAGCTGTTACCTGGCTTCAAGAAAAAGTGGACCATGAGATGACTCCATGAAGATGGAATCTTCTACAGAGCTGACGGCGTGCACCTGGTGAGTAACACTGCCTTCGTCGTCTGCTAACAGCACGGCACCCCACTCAGCTACCCGGGCTCTTAACCTTTTGTACACATGCACAGTTTGTAGTTCACAGCACAGCTCACAAAAGAAGGGGACTGAAAATAGGATCTCTCAATTAAACATCCCACACATAAATAGAGCTGCCACCCTCTTTGAGGCATCTCATGCTTTCTACATATTTAAAATAAATGTATTCTATAGAAAAGTACCAAACTTAAAAAAATCTACCTATAAATATATACTCTTTTAAAAACACTCACATACCAGGCAAAAAACCTAAGGCCGTTATATACGTTCTCCACATGCCCCCCAGAGGCTGGTCTCGGTATATCTGAAACACTAAGAGAAGCCCAGTACCTGGCAATACGTGGTGACCAGAAGTCCTCACTCAAAACGAGGCTAACAACTATTAGTCATGAAGTGTAGAGATGCTTCTAATTTCAGACTACTAAAAACTGCAAACACACATCTGTAAAAAACAAGTGAGTTCAACATCCCAAACTCAGAGACTGTCATGGACCTAGGCTGAGAGTGTCAAAGTTTACAACTCCAAGTCAGCAGAGACATAAGAACTTAAAGTGCTATGAAGTGCACAGGCTAAAAGTGCATTAGAGTTTTGCATCAGCTTTGGTGTCTCTGTGGTTTTCTGCATCTTCACTGATGGAGAATTTTTTTTACACTTATTTCTTAATTTAGGGAAGAAAGGGGTTAGTTAGGATTAATGTTAACTATAATGGCAATAACATCAGTTGAGATGATTTCTCATAAATACTCTTCAGGTATGGAATCTGTTCCACACAGCTCCCCTTGCTGTATTTTGAGACAGTATTACCAGTCATGAAATAATGTATTCTGCCTGACTTTACTGCTTAGCTTTCTTCTGCATTTAAAGACAGTAAGTATTATTTCCCCAAGTTATAGAATAGTCTTCAATAGGCATAACAGTGGTTCATATTTATTGATGAGAAACAATATAGGTATGTGTTCAAGATACAGCTAGTTTAAAACTCGAGGCAACTATTAACTCATAAATCATATTTCAATGACTCCATCCATGTCACGGTAGCTAAGATACTTTTAGATATGGAAAACTACTTTTAGACAGGAAGCTACTTAGAGAATTATTTTATACCTTCACCATATGCATTGAAGAGCTACACTAACCAGGCTCTCCTTACCAAAGAGAATGCATTTATAATGAACGGCACATTTGTCACTGCTCAACTGACAATGCCTGAATGGAGCATAGTGTGGTCTTAGTTGTACCTCCTACGTATTAAGAACTGAGTCACAGCTGTCATCTCAGGTCTCAAGCAGAAGCAGAGTAACAGTTTCATAAAGCTGCTTCCTAGTTCATGTCTAAACTCAAGCAAAAGTAACTCGCCCACAATTCAAAAGTATAATTCTTTCCAAATGACTCACATAAACTATCTTAGAGTAAATTTTAATATCTTATTGCATATTATTCTTCTCCTTAAGTTGTTTTTTTTGACTATTAAAAAATATAAACATATTACACATGGAAAATAAAAGTAGGAAGGAAAAAAATCACCTAGAGTCACCTAATTAAAGTCACTTAAAGGCAACTAATTAAAATTTGGGGTATTTATGTATGTCTGACATAGCTGCAAACACAATGTGTGTTACTTACATAATTTTATATCCTTTTAAAAACTAAGGACGTATCTATAAATCATAGAAATGCCACTTTAAATAGCTGCATTATATTCCATCCTCCTATTGGTGGCTATCTCCATTTACTGCTGGCTGAAACTGAAGTGATGAATACCTTTCTACATAAGATTTTTCTCTGTATTTAAAATAGTTTCACGGAGGAGGGTGGGTATAGGTCAGTGGTAGAGCGCGTGCTGAGCATGCATGAGGTCCTGGGGTCAATCCCAGTATCTCCATTAAAAAAAATAAAATAAAATAAGTTTCCTTAAGATAGACTTCCCCAAAATGAGTATTATAAGGTCAAAAATGTGTGTATGTGTGTTTATGTGGGTGTGTGTGTATAAAGGTTCTTTTTTCCTGATCTACTGATGTATCAGAATCACATTTCCCCACTCTATGTGGAATAAGATAATTTAGGTTCAGCAGTATCTCTTTTTAGAACATAAGAAAGAACAACTAGACGCTGAAATATAACCTTAATTAATCACGAGAAGCTTGTCAGAGCTTTTGAGTTCTTAGGTAGAAATTTCTGTGTACTGGATGCTGGCTTTCCGTCTCAGAAGTGCCGAGGGCCCAGACAGTGATCGAATGACAAGTGCTTCCTGACACAGGTGTGGGAGTCAATCAACATGCCAGGGCCTGGGTGTTACTGAGGTTGCTACTTATTAAGGCAGAGAGAAGGAAACGCTTCAAAATTCAGGCAATAAAGAGGAAAATTAAAACTTTGTGCGAAGGTCACGTAAGGTATGTAACAGAGTGGCCAAAATTCCTATGTACTTTGCAGAGAATGCCTTAAAGAAGGTATACAAGATGCTTTGATGAACTCTGCAATTTATGGCAAATATAAGAACATGAACTAAAATCTTTATTGGTTCAGTGTATTTAACCAGTAACAAATAAAGGGAATGTTGTCAATTGCAACATCTAGAAACAAAATAATTGGTCTAAAGGGTTCAATGTAATTAAACCCATTCTAGCTAGTCCCAAATAGCTATTTTAATACTGTTCTATATAATGTGTTACAACACTTTATACATGGGATATAGAAACGACACAGGCATACCTCAAAGATACCATGGGGTCAGTTTCATAATAAAGTGAATACTGCAATAAAGTGAGTCATGTGAATATTCTGGTTCCCCACTGCACAGAAAAGTTATGTTCATACTATACTGTAGTCTATTACGTGTACAATAGCATTATGTTTAAAAAAACCCCAACATACACACCTTAATTAAAAAATACTACAAATATTGCTTTAAAATGCTAAGCTTCATCTGAAAATGCAGAGTTGCCACAAACCTTCAATGTGTAAAAACCGTCATATCCTCAAAGCGCAATGAAGTGAAGCACAATACAATGAGGTCTGCCTGCACTGCAGAGCCCTAAGCGCCTGTAAAAGTCAGAATCTGAGGAAGAGGGGGCATTCAGAGAGCTCCAGACATCTATTAGCCTCGCCTCAGACTGCAGGCTGTTATGCAGAGGAAACAAAGCTCAGAACATACTCAAAAGCAGGGAAGTTAGAGACTGCAGGAGGAGCAGTTCCACCCAGTCACCTTTATCAGTCCTCCCAGGTAACATAATACTTTGAAACAGTATATGCAAATAACAAAGTTACTAGGGCTTATAGATATCATACATAGCTTTTCCCTAGTTGCAATTACATATCTCAAGTTGAAAATTGTACTGCGGTCACCAAAGCTATAGTTAAGTTTTCTGTTTTCAAATTTTTGTTTTAAGTCTTCTGGATCTCCCTAATTTTATTTCTTTCAAAGTTTCTACCTGGTGAAGCTTTATAAAATATTTATTTCTAATAATAATGCCATTACTGCTAATAATAATTTTAACAATGACAATTCTCTTAATTGAACTAGTAGGCATGAAATATTTTAATAATATAGTCCTCAAAATAGGTCAAGAAATCAACACATTATCCAACTAAGATGAATTGCAACACAAATCGTAAGAAAGCTGTTAACTGAGCATGCCTGAATAGTAACATACTTAGGAAAAGGACACAGGTGTGCATCAATGTCAAGCTAATGCTTCACTAAGCATCAGAATAATAAAAACCTATAGATGATTGCAGATACATGGGAAACACACAATATCTATACGTTAACTACTGATACTTAAAGGTCAGAATAGGTAAACTCCACCCTGTTGTGTCCTTTAATATACTAACCAAATAGCAAAAAAGTTTTAAATTATAAGCAGCAGCAGCTTACATAATGAGACTCTGTAACACAAGCTCTAGTGTAATTTTAAATGTACAACTATGTATTATGTATCCAAATTCAAAGAAAAGCCTTGTAAGGATCTTCCACATGAACATAGACATTTCATATGAAAGTAAAACACGGGATGCACTTCCTTAAAATACAATATTTTACTGTAACTTAATATCCTAAGCACTCAACATTCCCAAGAGAATCTCTATAACGTTAAGATTTCTAGGAACCTATCCTCTTTATAAGGCAATCCTGTGAAAAGACAGTTCATTTTGGTGTAACAACAACAAAATCCCTTCTTCAAAAAAAAAAGAGCTCCTGTGTTAAATAATGTGATCTGAAACTATGTAGAGGAACATAGGTGATTATTAAAGCAATATGAGCAAATGACATCATTAATCAATGGATTAAAATAAGTGTCACATCATCTAATTTTAAAAAATACATTAAAAATAGGAATAAAAAATACAATGGGTATGATGACCGTCCATCATAACTTTGGATCTCTGTAAATACTCAGTGTCAACTACACACTTTGTTGCTAAAGTAAAAATGCTATTGCCAAACTTAAGGAGTAACATGAACAAATAATTTATACGGCTAGTGCAAATGCAAAAACGTGGTGAAAGAAATCCTAAAACCAAAATATGCGCCAAAGGAAACCACATCAAAATAATACATTGTAAAATAAACAGTGCTGATGAAATGCTAGGTTAGAAGTGGAAGGGTTATACACTGAAACCTAGCTGGGAAAGGGATCAAGAGGAGTTTAAAAAAAATGACTAAGTGGCACAAACAAATGAAAATGAACATCTAAAGGAAGGGACAAATTAAAGCCATAGCACACTACAGTATAGTAACATCCTCATGCAAAGTCGGAGTGTTCTGAAGTCAAAATAATAAATACTTAATAAACTAAAATTTCTGGGTAGTTCAAACCAACAATCAAGCCCACTCCTACAAAATCATTTTAACACCGTTCAGATTTAAAAGGTATTTGAAAATTAAAATATAATCAAAAGGTATTTTTCTCCAATTACATGAATTACACTTTTTCAAATGAAAGCATTGCCAAAGGTTAAATCATCTGGCCACAGATTAATCATCCTCCAAATGTATTTAAATTCAAATAATTCCAGCTATTTATACATTATTCTAAAGAAAAACATAAACCTATCCAGATCTAAAGGCTAGGACCATAATTACCAAAGAAAAAGTTACATGTCAGATATGTAAGTGAACACTTCTCTCACATGTTGAAATCAATATACATTCAATTAAACTCGAAAGAAAAAATGTATTACTACTTTCTGCTTAAAATATGTAGTGTCAGTAAATAAGCTAAAAACAAAGTCAGCCTCTTCTGGTCAAAAACAGATAGCCAGGGGAAAAATGTACAATTTCAGATATGTTGGAACTGTTGAAAATGTTTAAGTATAATTAATTGATTAGGCATAAATCCTCTCATGATCAGGTTATATAGCACTTCCTTTGTTAGCATAATGTCACGGAAATATAACCAAAGTTTAAAAAAAAATTTAACATAATATTTAGCAAGGTATTTAAATACAGTCTGTATCTTTTTCATCTATATTTTGCCCCCACTCAAAGCAGGATCCTATCTAAAGTAGGTACTTGAGTACTTGAGTGCATGAACCAAAGTGGTGGGAAGATGACATAAAGAGGGGAATGTGGCCCCAAATTATGTTTTATCTCTGGAAGTAATTTCTATTTAGGTGACCAAAATCTTTTATAAGCACACTAAGACAACGTACTAATTTGAGACCAACATGGAGGTACCAATATTTGCCTATTAATTTATTTGCAGACATTTAATGAAACTGCTCATTTATACTTCTAAATCAAACACTAGGCATGGCAGATTTCTAAAACTAAAGACTTAAGACTTATTGTTGAGTAAGAATCCTCCCCATTGATTTACACTGAAAAATTCTTAAATGACTTTTACTCAATCAATGAATCCTTTTTCAGTTTATGTAACATTAAGGCATACCTAGCATGGCAAACCAATGGTGACCAACCACCAAAGGTTGCCAGAACCCAAAAAATAATAGGGTAAGTGGTTCCATTCTCACCCCATCACCTCACAACTTACTCAAGTTTTTGAAGAGAAAAAGGTAAAATTGTATGTGGGGGTGTTTAGAGGAGACATTTTCATTGCTTAGGTATACTTTTTTTTTTGCCTGCATTTTCAGAACTCTAAGCTATATCTTAAGACTGAAGGTGCAAACTTGTGGCCTGTAAACATGCTTTCTTTGTTTTGATTAGTACTTCCAACTTTAAAAATTTAATTATCATTATTTAAAGATCAGTAAATTGCATATAAATATCCTGACTTGTAGTGTCTCAGAGAATCACAAATCCTGGGAACACCAGGCCTGGACAACAGCCAATGGCCAGAGCCAAGTGGTGGCTGCCTCTTTTGGACAGGACGTGTCGTAGTTCCCACCTCTTTTATTTCCTATCCTTGGCCACCTTCTTTCACTTACATTATCCATCCAGACCCAGTAGGCACTTAAGTTTCTGGCCTCCACCCTCATCTATCTCATCTACAATCCTTTTGCAAACTAGAAGAAACTTCAGTACAGAACTCTTAAATTTCCACTGTACTGCAATAAAAAAAATTACTGAAATACTACCAGGGAACAGGAAGGAGTATGCTGGTTTCCCTCCTCCTCTTTTTCATTCTTTCCATTCTCGATTATCAGATGTCAGCGATGTATGCTGACATTACCATCAAATTACTTCTAGTTTATAAATAGGTATGCCAAAATGCACCGATTTCTCTTCGAGGATCAACATACAGAGTACTTTCCTATGAGCAATCTCATCCATTAATGCAAACCCCACCTATTTCATTGGGGAGCTGACTAAACCAACCTACAACTAAAACTGTCACTCAAGATGCAGACAATGAATCAGTCTGCAATTATGGACAATCAAGAGCTTCCAGAATAAAATAGATGGTTTGTGATCAGCAATTAGTAAGAGCCAAGGTGAGTTCACCAAGAATAAGACACCAAATAGATGTCACTTTCTATTTGGATGAAATTACTACATTGGTAGATCAGAGGAATGTGATATAAGTTACATATTGGTTTCAGAAGAGCCCCCTATGAAATCTCTTGTAAGATAATCAGATAAAATGTGGGCTGGATAATAAAATATTTTTAATTGACAAAATAATCTTTCCCCAAGAATTCTAAACTGTGTCATTGGGAAAAGAGTTCTCCAGGGGAACACTAAGGGGCTGGCTTGCATGCTTGAGCTTGCTCTCTCTCCAGTCTCTGGATATTTGACATTGTTTTTTATCAATTACTTGAAAGATAAAGAAGACATATCTACCAAATTTGCAAATGACACAGTGCTGAGAAAGATATACAATGGGACAGGTGACAGAAATAATGTTTGAAATGACTGAGCTAGAACAAATGGATAGAAAAGAAGAATATGAGGTTTAATAGAGATATATATGTATCAGCATTTATATTCAAAGAGCCAACTAAAAATATCAAATGCACAATTAAAGAGGAAGGGACACTGCCTTAATAGCAGTTCATATGAAAAAAATTTGATTTCAATTTACCCTGAGATTAATTTGCATCAACAGCGGGATGCGGCTGCTAAAAAGTTAACATCACGTTAGTAGACAGGTGCTGTCCTAACTCTGGAACATGACTGCCCACTGCTCCAGACTAGTCAGATCACACCTGGAGCACTGTTCTCCATTCTCAGTGGCACTTTTTAAAAGGTACTCCAAACACTAAGGGGCTTTCAGATGAGGACAACCAGGAATGATGAGGTCACTAAGCTATCTAATTCAAGAAAAGGCTGAAAGAAATGGGGATGTTCTACCTGGAGAAGAGAAAATTAGGGGAGACATGATGGCCGTCTTCAAATGTCTGAAGGATTGCTAGGCTGAGGAGGGAGTAGAAGAGTCGTATGTTGTTCTAAAGGGTAGAACTAAAACTAAAGGAGAGAAAGTTACAGGGAAATCATTTTAGTTAAAAAAAAAAAAAAGAAAGCAAAAGCAAAAACCCTCTCCAACGAGGAAAGCCATCAGCAGATACACAGCACTCGCTCTCAGGAAGGCTTGCAGGAAGGCATTCTCATAGAAGATTAGGCCAGAGGAATTCTAGAACCTCTTCCAACTCTACCATTTCTGACACCGGAGCTCCTGAACGTTGTTTGGTTTGAACTAGCCTTGCATTTTCTCACGGTTGTCGTGAGAGAATCTGTCTGTGTTACTCTTTGTAAGATGCCATTCAAAGGACAGAGGCAGAACTTTACCACCAAATGAGTGGGGGGATCCCTTCAAAGCAATCACCTGAGATGGCTGCTTTCTTATTCCAGAGCTGCCAGCGCTCAAAGCATCACTGCAACTCTTTCAGAATGTCTTCGAAGTTAGTTTCTGACTCACATAAAACATGATCTCTCTGTTTCACAGCCACGTCTCCTATCATGCTGGTGGACACAAACTACCCTACCCATTTGGTACAGCCAGAGCCTAGCCTCCAGTGAGAGTCCAAATAATGGATCCATTTCTAACCAAAATCTATTTAGCTTGATCATCTGTCTTAATCAAGCTCTGTTCTCAATGATATTTGAATGACTTCAAAAATCTGATTCATACTTAGACACATAAAAATTTGACATCAGATACAAATTAATATTACATAGGCTCTTCAATGCCCCAGAATGTAAAATCAATTTGAACAAAGGTAGCATGACTGGAATAAGAACATAACCTTCCAAGTTCATTGCTTTGAGGGAATGTATATAACCTATCTTTTGGTTGTTTTTGTTTCTCTTACTTTTTAAAAGTGTGTTATTTTCTAGGCATACTTTATGTTTTGGACTCAATTATAAAGACTTCAAAAACTAGCCCTAAAGATTTGCTTTTCTTTTCCATATTCCTTTGAATCCTTAATATTGATTATTATCTTCATTTCCAGAAATCATATTATTTCAAATAAACATTCCAGATACTTAAAAGTAAATTATAACTGTAAGCGATTACAAAAATAGAGAAGTTTTTCAAACCCAAGATACTGTTCATATTAGTATGGTTTGGTAAGTTGTACTATTTGAATAAAAGCTGAGCACAGCGTAACATTTGGGATCAATGTGTCTTTTCCTTACCAAAGTCCTCATCTATTTCTACAACTCTCAGCCAAAGATTTTAATCTCCCTACACATATTATCCTCTAATATAAAAAATACTTTAACCTCCTTAATGGAAAAACAAAAGGCAAAATCTTTCAGTCCCCTAAATGTATCTATTAATTTTTAACATTAAGAAAGACTCCAAAACTAAACGTCACTACAGTGAGGATTTTAGTGGAAGTTAGTTGGGCATCAGTCGGCTTGTTGTCTTTGTAGTGAGTATCTGTATAATAAATAGTTATCCGCTTTTTTCTTTTGTATTTGAACAGAACGCCTGGTACCCAGTAAATAAAGTTAAGAACCTGTTAAGAACTGCAGTGAAGATTTTGTTCTTTACAGATTGCAGCAAGTCTGAGTTGAGGAAGTTCTGACAGATGCAAAATGTACACCTGTTGCAGGTGCACATACAGCGTAACCGGGCATGGCTGCGAAAACACACAGAAGGACAGGAGTTGAGTTCTTACTTACAAATATGGCACAAGTCAGAGTGTGCCAACTTAAAAAAAAAAGATTTAGGCATAAGCAACACTAAGGAAAGGACAGTGTGGGGCATGCTAAAGTTGTGCAGAATTCCACATTTACCAAAAATATATTCAACAGCAACAGATCCCTCCTCCCACCCTATAGAAAATCTGGAAAATTAGCTAACACTTTTGCTTTTTTGGAGGGGGGATGGAATTATTATTACAAGAGTTTTCGTGGAATAAATATGCACAGCAATAGATGACACCCTCATCTAAATTAATAAAAGAAAAACTGAGTAAGCCACAGCACCCACCAAAAGGTCAAAGTTTGCTAGCATTTAAATAGCCATTCCCTCCTCCTCCTCCCTCAGCATACACACATGCCTGAAAACCAGGAAGGAGAAGAGAGACAAATACACACAAGAATCAAAAGACGAGTATATTCAACCCTGGGGAGATATGAACAACATCGTCTTTAATTCATTAAGCACCATGGCTCCAAAAGGAAATCAAAGTGCTTTGTAAGATTCTACTTGAACCCAAAATATAGGGTTAATTTCATCTGCTACCAAAACACAGCATAAGTATGACAGAATGAAACTCTGAGTAAGGATGTAAAAATCAACAATGGATCCAATTGATATTAGATGTGAAATTTAGGGATGCTTTCTGACTCCTTTCTGGTTGAGTGGAGTTGCACTAGTTAGAACAGGCACATGGGCCAACCCATTTCATCTCTGCTCTAATGACCAAAGCAGGGGGTCTCCAATGACTGCTCAGTGGTCAGAGCCACTCAGACATACAAGGCCATCACACCACCCCTGAAGAGGTACTGGCACAGAACCCACTCAGAAGAGCGCCCTCTGATGAATCAAGGCCATCACTTCCTGTAACACCTGAACATTTTTTAGAGGCTTCTCAGTCAAAGGACTGGCCCAATCTGACTTGGCTCAGCTTGTGAGATCTGATGAGACCACAGCACACGGTGGCATGGTTGTGGAGATTAGCAGCATCCCAATAATGCCTAATCCCGACATGAAGAAAAACAAGAATTAATTTTTAAAAAGACTCTTCTAGGCTCAAGACATTCCTTTTTAAAATCTGACTTGTGACGATGAACATATCACTGCTACTACGTTCCTGCCAGCTGTCATACTGGAATCCATCTGTTATTTTATAAGTTGAATCTGACTCTTCAACACACACAGGCGCCACCCACCAAAGAGGAGGGATGCAAAGTATGCTTAGCAACAGGGAGATGCTTCGTAAGAGAAGTAGTTTTGGATTAACCATGTAAACAAGTGTCCATGTATGTACATTTATCATATACACACACACGCACACACACTCGCACACGTTGCAGTAAAAATGTTTTAAAGATGCAGATCTAAAAACACAGTTGCAGTTAGTTATGTATAAGATTAAGAGAGTTTACATAGTAAAAAAAAGACACTGTGATATACATGGAGGCAGTGAGCCTGACCAAGCAGTGCGTTTCTGGATAGTTACAAAGTGTTAATTATGGCACGAAAGGAGATTTGGTCATCTATAAGAAAATGTCATTAAAATCCCACAGAAGCCACAAAGAAAAAGTAACTTACAAAGCAGTTTTTAGAAAGACCCAGATTTTTCTCAAATTCTCTATTCTATCAGTGTTGCCCGTGTCTCGGGAGAGTCTGTCTCTGTAATGATCCTCTCTGTAGATAACATACACGAGAGTTTTAAAGCAAAGGTCAAAACATAAAGAAGATTTTTCTTATCTTATAATAATAGATATGACTTCTTTTCCAACACAAATAGAATTTCAAGGGTTTGCTGCATTTTTTTAAAACAAGTATTAAAGGAATACCAATAAAGTTAACTCTGATTTGAAAAATCTGTACAAATTAACACCCTTCTGAGAAACCTCAGTTTATAGCAATTTTTGAGTATTACTCTATTTTATACTGTAGTTTTCATAAGAAAAATAATTTAGAGAATAGCATAATAATACACAGAATAAACGATAAAGTCCTGAGAAACGCACTGCCTGAAAAACTATCTTGTTGCAAAACAGAATTTGTACAAACACAGTACTTGAGGAGAATGCCATTAAGAACCATGCAATTTTAAGACAGTTAGTAAACTATGACGATGACCACAGTTACGTGCTTGTGCATACGCATGTATAGATATACAATAAATGTACATAAAATTTGTGGCTCATAACATTCATGTAAAACGTTTATGATAGAGGGAATTCCAGTTACAACTACTTTTTATGGCACTTAAAAAAGACATTATATCCTGAACTCAAACATACCCATAATTTAAACATAAATTAAAAATAAAAGATTTTAGAATCTTTCACATACTCAAGGTCAATTAATCAACAGAAAAATGCAAAAATGAACTTTTTGTTCATATGAAAATGCCTTATAAGCATAAAACAACATGACGTCAACCCCATTTTATTGCAGTTAACACTTTTTTTTTAATGCTGGGTGAGGGGCTGAGTTTTATTGTACTATCCTATTAGGATAGTTACAGCCTGCTCAAACATATTCAAATATGGTCAGAATCACCATTTACATAATTTTATTATGGTACCCAGACCGAACTTGCATTTACTCAAACTTGTACCTTCTCATTACAAAGTCTCTTTCTGTTGCTGAACAACTTCTATGTGACGGAGATTCCACCCTCATGGCTAATAATGGCATGCAGTGTTATCATGAACCATGCAACATGAAAATGATGGCAGAGCAAGTACTTACGGGTACATGGCCATGGTTGTCAACTTAACAAAGATATCTTTACTGGGTGCATCAGTAGTATTGCAAGTGAAGGCTTGTGGTGGAGGCATTTTGTGTTTCCTGCAGAAATCAGTCGGTGAAATACTATATTCTTGTTTAACTTCATGCAGGTCTGACTTTGCAGCTACGATTAAGCAAGGTATTCTGCTGTCCATAAAGTGTTGCTATAGAATAAAAAATGAAATCAAAATATGGTAAGTTCAGAAATTACTAAATTTAATTAAATGTGCACTAAAAATTTTCTCTGGATAGGCAAAGCATCAATCGTTTCAAAGAGAAAGTGAACTAAGAGGCAAGGATGCGCAGTGGTCCAGGTCAGCAGCATAGTAAGACCAGGGCCACTTTTCCAATGCTGGAAACAATATAAACCTGTAACAATTCTTCAGATTCACTACAATTTGAAAAAGAAATTATTAAAAAGAAACAATACTCTGAAATAAAAAGAAACCCACTTACATTCCTCTATCTTAAAGCACACTGTTTTCATTTTTTGATATTACCTCTAGTCCTTAAGCACCTATGTTTTTATATATATATGTGTGTGTGTGTATATATATATATATATATATGTTTATATAGTTGCAGTCATGCTGGATATAATCATTTAAAAATATAATACTGAATTTTCCATGTTTTCAGAATTCAAAACTATTATTTTTAATGGCTACTTGAAATTTCATGGGATTATTTTATCTTAATTTGGTAAACCGTCCTCCTATTGTTAGACATTTGGATTATCTCCAGGTTTTTGCTATTAAAAACACTGCTAGAACAAATTCCTTTGTACATATAGTTTTTTACTCTTATTGAATTGTGTTGATGATCTCAAAGTAACTGGTAACTTTCCAAGCCTCTGGTTTAGGTTTATTCCCTTGCTCTATTATTATTCTTGGTGTGCAGTCCTAACAGCCAAGAAGACCCTCCATTAATGCAGAGGTTCTTAACCAGGACTGCACATCAGAGTCATGTGCAGAAAAAAGTGTTTTTAAAATTGTCTGGGACTCTATCACCTCAGAATGAAACCAGACCCTTTAGGTATAGGACACACAGGTACTTTACAAAAAGTTCCGTAAATAATTTTCTTGTATTTCCCTGGTTAGAAAACACATTACAATTCCATTAAACCCTTTATAAAATTAAACTCAGACGAAAAGAACAACAAACCTTAAAAATCCTGGCACAGTATTCAAAGGATTTGGGGTTACTGACATCGTATACCAGGCATACAACATCACAAAGGATCTCAGCCTCAGTTAGAAATTCCGACTCTGAGATATCATGCAACTTGTAAAAAGAAAGATAATGAGAAACATAAGCATAATATTCATATATAATTAAAGTCATCATGTTTTATCACTTGCCTAATTTGACTTCTTAATTAAAAAGTACTAGTTAAGCATAATTTCAGACTGTTTTTTAGAAGTCAGAAGTATAGATACATAAGTAGCTTCTGGTTTTTGTAAATGAAAAATGGTGACGAAGGTTCTACAGAAAGTAGCATTTAGTGAGCGACTCAAGTGTGCTGGGCAGGCCCTTTACATGAATTCTCTACATACTATAAACAAGAAAACAAGCTAGAGACTAGGTCAACTGCCAAAGATAACACATCTAACTAATCTCTAACTAATCATCAAACCAAAATTTGAACTCGGATATGATTCCCAAGTCTTTTTTCTTTCTACCACATCACCTTTTCTCCCTACCAATCAAAAACACAAAGCAAAGGACCGTACATTAAGGTTATTTTGTTCTACTTCACTGCCTACTCTTTTTCAATGTTTATTATAACACCTCTAAAGAAATATCCCATCTATGATATGATAATGATCCAACATGAGTAAACTTCAGTACTGAGCTACATAAGAGTGAATCTTCGTTGAGGAGAGGAACGGGGAAGTGTGAAGTCAGAGGTGACTCAGCATATTCCAAGTAAAACACTACTACAGCATGAATATTCAGAGACATGAAAGAATCAATTTGCAAAGAGTGGTTGTATAAGTAAAAGCAGGGAAATGAACAATCAGCAAGAATCACTGCACACCCAATATGCAGAATTCCACTTAGAGGAGAAAGATGGGAGCTAAACAGGTTTAACAAGAAACTGATCAGCCACTGACTCTGTTCTCTCAAATACTCCTTTGGGTTTACCCAAATCTGTGTCTCCCAATTCTTAAAACTCCGCCAAGTAAATTCTTTTGTTATTTGCAAAAAGAAAAAAGAAAAGAAACTGACAAAGAACTTTTATCATAAAGAGCAAAGTATACATAAAATTCAACGTGATCATCTGTCTAGCAGAATAAATATTTCCAAAAAGAAAGAGGAAGGGAATGAATTTTCTTTAGTACCCATTATTTGTCTGGAGCGTCTCATATTAGCTAACTGAGAAACTCAGGCTCAGAGAGAATAAGCAACTTGCCACATAGCTAATCAGTGGTGGACCAGGGTTCAAACCAAAATCAGACTGGATCCAAAAAGAACATAAATTTCTTTGTACTATTTCATATTATGTTTTCAGTCATACCCTTCTTTCAATCGTTTTTTAGGCTAACAGATTTGTTAACTATACTCCTCCTTGCTAAATAGATAAAACTTGATTCAGATTACAGATAAACTACCACACACCTGCACTAAGGTTTTCATTATTAATTTCTAGTCAACAGTAGAGGACATAATTTTTAAAAATAGACGTAGAAAAGAGGGTAAAGAGTATTTAATTTTTTTTTAACTTTCTTATGGTGGTATAACATACAATTAAGCAGACAAATAGACAATTTTTCACTTATATCTATACCCATGTTATCACCATACAGATCAAGGGAATTAAAATTAATTTCAAAGAATAAACCAGGTGGAAAAAAAAATCACACAAGCCATTAAATTAAATCCAATCCTGTTTTCAAAGAGTCATTTAAAAATGTATCCAATAATTAATCATCTTTATATGCCAGAAAATTTCTTACCAACAAGTATTTCTCCTGTCCATACACATAAACAGTGTTAATCGCATAGTAAGACTTATGATCATCACGGATCTTCTTCTGCCTCTGAAAATAACCAAAAATTTCAGTGCTTACAGTAAGAAATTACAGTAACTAGTTTTCATCAACACACGCACTCTGTGTATATGTGTGGGTGTTTTACAGGAGAAAAAAGAAAGGACATTCTTTCCTACACTATGTATTATTTATCAGTACAAAGGGGATATTGATTTTGTTTCTTAGTTCTTAAGGTCTAAAACAAAAGATGCATTCATTCTGCATGAAAGGAAAGCAGTAGCTGGAAAGGAAGTGAACTGTTTTATGGAAAGTGTATTCCAGAGCCACCTGCTGGCAATTCTCACTACACTGTAATTTGGTCTGCTATTTCATCTGGAAAAATGTCAGTCTCTTTACTTAAGGCAGTAGTCAGAATTAGAATCAGTATCACTTCAAAATATTTACTGTACATTTACTTCATACCAAGCACTGTATTTGATGCTGTCATATGTGTATTTATTTAATCCCCATCGAAACACTGGTTAAAAAAAAAGACAGATGATAGCTAACATCAGTGAAGCAAAGACAAAGCCAGCTCAATGAGATTACTGTTACACTTTAGCTGTACTATTATCCATAGGTCACTCAGTTCTAGCAACCATCTAAAAAGGTTAATGGTTATGAAAAAATCATGTAAACTGATGACTATAAAAATCTGTCAGGTTAAAGTTCTATTTTCTGAGAACTCTCACCGTTAAGTTTCTCCCAAGAAGAGCCTGAAGAACTCCACTCTTCCCACAGTTTTTCACCCCAATTACATTACATCTGAATACATTTCTTTGAGTCTGTTTTTTCTGAAGGTCTATTTTTTTATCTCTCGTTACTAAAAAGAAAAAAAAGTTAATTATGTACTATTTGGACCTACTGAACCGTCATTTCACCTTCTGCAAAATAGGCAATTGCTATTTATCATTTTTACAAAGTGTTTGATCAATAAACACACTGTGCAACAGTCAAGCTGTGTGTGAAATAAAGTACAAAATATAATACAGAAGAGCCTCACTTACTGGAAAAGATGCATTTCTGACAATCGGCTGTAAATTAAACTGGTAACTAAATGATATTCATTTCATCATAAAATTAGTACCTTTTTGTAAGGAAAATGATATTCCCGAAAATGAACAAAAATTGCAATATATATAGCCAACACTATATCCCATCTATCTTTTCAGTTATAAATTACTGTCATAACAAATTATAAACTGAAAGATCTTATCTCAAAACTGCACTTTCTTAGGTCTACAAATGGGAAGGGATAGGCACTCTAGGGTTAACTGGCCTTTCAAATGTAAATCTGTAAAAGGCAACCCTGAAAACAATGTTGTACCAGCAGAGCAATGGGGCATCTCTTCCTGAGGTCAAGAGGCCTCATTAAGATGTACCCAAAGATTCAACCACAAGAAGACTCACCAGAGACACTATAGTAGCAAAAAACTGAAAGTGATTAAAAAAAAAAAACACAAAATAATTGTACGATAGTTAATTAAGTTATAGAGTAACCATATGATGACACATTATCTAATACTAACAATATATAAAGTATACTTGTTGATACAGAAAGATGTTCACCATATTTTGTGGAGTAAAAGAACCTCATGCTGTCTAGTAATTAGTTCCTTACTCTTTGGTGCTGAATTAAACACTAATTGGTTAAGTACTTTAAGGGGTACTTGCTCTGTCAGTTTAACACTGGCTATCTTCTTGTTATGGGGTTTCCTGTAAGATATGGCATTTTTTCCCACCAATTAGGATATAAGAACTCTTTGAAATGATCAGTCCCCTTATTTGCTGTTTCCTAGTGTTTCTATGGGTTTTCTTTAAGTGGAGCACATTCCTTGGCAAGGATGCCTGGTTAACATTACAACACCTGTGAAAAATTTATTAATGTGGAGACAGGTTATGAAAATGAGAGATGTACAGTCAGTTCAGTATCAGGATCATGAGTTAACAGGCATTGCTTTTAATGTTTAAAGAAAATTAAAATGCAAGGTAGACTGGTAAATTCTTTTAATGCCCACAGCCCTCCCAGATTTTCATCAGTGCAGAACCATCATGGGCAGAGTGGAAGTAAAACCTCTACTCTTCCTTTTTTGATAAACATCTCAACTCAAGAAAAATTACCAAATCGTGGGCAAACAGAGTATGAAGATGAGTTTTCTTTCACTCTTTTTACGTATGCAACTGAATCTTAAAAAATTTTCTAATTACAAACTGAATGGTACTCAGATACTTACCTGTGATCGCTGAAGCTTGAGACTCTTGTTCAGTCAATATTGAATAGCCAAGGTAACCCAAATACTCCAGGCATCGCTGCACATCTAAATAGGTTGTGAGCCTAGGAAAGGGAAGAGTTTAAAATGTGGAAAGTTCCTAAGTGAATATTTTTATACAAAAAAAATTATAACAGCTCAAATAGTTTGCTACCAGACCCAGATAATTTTTGTCAGACTCCTTTAATTTCCCATGTGCCTAACTATGACTTTTCTTTTTCCTACACTGACATTCTCATGGCAGAGAAGAAAGGGAGGAGAACGCAGGTGGGGGCGGGGGGAATTTCTGTAACTACTCCATCTGCCGGGAGAGAACAAACCCAAGCACATGCACAGTGAGATACTGGTAAGATCCAGAGCAGGGATATTTTATATTTTCTGCTTCCCAAGTTATATATTGTACTGCAAATACTGGCTAGTTAAATCTGAAAAGGTCTAAGAAGGGTGTAAAAATAACTGAATGGCACCTCATGATTTGAAAAAAGCATAGATCCCAGTGCTGAGAAAGTTAGTCTCACCAAGGCTAAAGTAATTAAGTCATTTATGCACAACCAGAGGATTTCCTTAGCACCCTAGAAAAAAGGTCAACTTGGCTGTAACTAGATTGTAGACACCACCCTCACTAAGTCTAGGACTGCATTAAAAACAAACAACAGCAAACCCTCAAAATACGTCTGCAGTGTCAAGTAAAATACGCTCTCCCTGTACGAAGATACAATAATTGTGTGATAACAATGTTTCCAACTCCCTTAATCAAAACTGCATTAGAATTTAGTTCCATTTTGATATGACTTATTAATATTTCCCTGTATAGTACCCCAAAGCAAACACATCTCTTCCTGGTAAATTTATAGAACACCTATAGTTCATGTCAGAGATAGCGGCACTGTAAATCCTGCTCACAGGCACTTATGTTGAAGCATTTCGTAAGATCTGACAAACGTAAAAAATAATGAATCTAATGCACCGTAAGTTTAAACTAGCTGTGACCTGGGAGGAAAGCAGCAAGCTCTGTACTCACGTCCACTGGGAAAGGAATCCCTGGTAGGTGATCCAGCCTCTTTCATTTGTACAAACTGTGTTATTCACATCTGGCCCCCAAGGTATGTAAGGGAAAACTTTAAACAAATCTTTAAGCTCATCAGGTGACAAAGCACAGTCTCTGTCCTGCAGACACACAAGGAAGTACACATGGTGTTAAATACCCGAGAGAGTAACTCCCAGCACAAGAGCCCCCAAATAGAGTGAAGACGCTTCTACAAACTAGCAAATGAAAAGAAATCTTTACATTTTGTCAGGAAAATCCCTTACACATATATAAGCAACCTATGTAAGTCTATCAGAAACTATATTTTTTCATCTTGAGAAAACAATTAAGTCAATAATAAAAGTATTTTTGCTAGTAGAAGTTAAGAGAGGTTGAGTAGTTTCTGGCTATGTGACATGAGCCCCCAGAGCTCAGGGAAAAGAGCTGTATCATTCACAAGAAAGTACTTCACCAGGTACCATGGAAAACAGCAGCTAAAAGCTTACCAAATCGTGCTTGTCAAAAGTACTCTGGAGAAACAAATATGCATGATGATTTAATTCAGTAGTGCAATCAGGAGGTATTTTTAGCCTGTTGATGAAAAAAAAGAAAGTAAAACAAACCATTAAACAAATACTAAAATTTAACAAATGAATATGAAACTGCGACAAGTCTCTTTGTAGGATGACAGAGATATGTCTGCTGCAGCCATTTAGACTTTCCCAGGGAAAAGCCATTGGAGTGGTACGGCAATCCTCAGAAGAGTCGTAACAGTGCTCATTCCAAGGGCACATAAACAGTTTTCTTAAATATCTGAAGGGCAGGTTGTGTTAAAAGTTTTACATTTTACAACTATAAGGGGGGAAGGTATAGCACAAGCGGCAGAGCGCATGCTTAGCACACACAAGATCCTGGGTTCAATTCCGAGCACCTCCTCTAAAAATTAATAAGTAAACTTAATTATCTCCCCCCCAGTTTTTTTTTTTTACAAATAACACTGATTAAACTGTAATGCGTTGCTCTTCCTATAAACCAATTATTAGTCAAAATTATGAGCTACATAAAATATCAACATTGTAATGATTTGAAAATGATGTGAAGAGATGTAACTTTTGCCTGATTTGACCTCTGACACAGCCTCAATCCCATTCAATAAACACATATCAAATGCACTGAGGTATGAGGGACATAAAAACAAGATAGGCCCCCTACCTCTAAGGAACACATCCAAGCTGGAGACAGATCACAAAACAGATAACCTCACTATCTCAAGAGAATGCGGCAACTGCTGAGTATCAGTAAACCAAGGATGCTGGGAGAGCCTGTGTGAAAGGGAACACCTCTGGCCTGGGGATGGGAACGTGTCAGCACTGCTGAGAGACACTGCCACCTGACTTGAGACTTGAAAGTTAAGAAGCAAGAACTAGGTTGGAGGGAGAGGGAGGAAGAGAGTGAAAACATCACGGGCAAAAGCTTGGAGTGGGAAACGATACCTGACAGGCGGACTAGAAACGGTCTGGGGTTTACCTCCAGAATGAAGGCAGGGGGTGAGCCAGGGCACAGCAGATCATGAGTGACCTCTGACACCAGCTTAAGAAGCTTGGGATTTATCCCACCTTGAAGGGAAAGTGACAGGGCCCAATCCGTGCTTGTGTATCTGTTAATCTAGCAGCAGTGTGAAGGACAGTGGCAGAGAGTTTAATAAGAAGGCCAGAAAGATTCAAGTGGTGGCTCTGAAGGGGCGGGCTATTTTGCAGAAAATCAAAGGCACAGTACATAAATAAATGAAAAGAGATCTTTGCGTAGGTCACAAAACCATAAAAGATGGAGTTTCCTCATTGTCATGCTTTTAGAAAGCAACAAGCAACATACTGCAGAATTCATCTACCCACTATAAATGGCACAGAAAAGAAAACTGGACGAACATGATCTGGGACAAATTCATTCATTCAATATATGTTTATTGAAAAATCTGATAAATACTTGAGCCAAGATTTAATAACCATGACAAAGGAAGTTTCAACTTAGAGCTAATTAATGGACCAGGAATCCAACCAGAAAAAAACTTTGCTTCTTCAATGATAGGCAAGGAAAAAACAACAACAAAGCTTTTCTGAACCCTTATGTGGATAGCTAGCAATGCTATACTAAAAATTAAAAAGAAAAATTAACAGAAACAGACTCACAGACATAGAAAACAAATTACAGTCACCAGTAGGGGAAGGGGGTGGGGATAAATGGGGAGTTCGAGATTTGCAGATACTAATATACATAAAATAGATAGCACGTTCATGCTGTATAGCACACGGAACTATATTCAATACCTTTTAGTCACTTATGGGAAAAAGAATATGAAAACGAA